ACCCAGGGACAAAGTATACCGCAATGACAACAAACATTGACAAAAATATACAACAACATCAGCAAAGACATTATAACATTATTTTTAGAATTAATGTTCAACTGGTGACGTTTGTCTTACAACCCTTTAAAAGACAAAGTTAATCAAGGTTTATTAACACACCTCAATTTTTGCTTCAACGATGGATTACATCAATTTGAGTGTCCACCCTTTGGGTCACTCGCATCACATATGAGGCCTGTAAGGACAAAACAGCTGTACGATGCAGTGTTATTCATTTTTGGCATACTGTTATATGTTATAGTTTTTTAACGTTTTAGTGTTTTCGTGAAATTGTACAAACACGGACAGTAGCTTTATATTCCTACTCTCAGCCACTCACCCCGAGCTTTATTTAAATAAGGATTTGTTTGATAAATCATGTTTAAGTTAATTTACCGTTTAAGGTATTAACTTAGACTGAACACTCAATGACAACGATTAACAAGTTCATTTTAATTGATATATAACAATTTATATAACACACAATGAATAAATTGCTTATAAGAAACCAATACACAAAAAACGTCTGAAAGGTAAAAAACTAAACACCTATGAGAATAATACATATTTTACAAAATAAAGAAGTTTGATGTATATAAGATGAAATTGCATACATGACGCACAAGATGTAAAACACAGAAGAAAGTATTTTTTTGATTACTTTATAAAAAAATATAAAAAATGCACTTATTTAATAAAATGTATTACCCCTTTGAGGAAAATCTAGGAATCTGATTGGTTAAAAACTACAGTGTACTTGACCGTATTCGTAAATCTCAGGGGGTATACGAAAATCTCAGGGGGTATACGGTCATGTCACGTGATTCTCAACGGGAGACTACTCTGCTTCGCTGTTTACAAAATGGCAAAACGTTTCGCTTCGCATACTGATGAGGAAATACTCGCCAAAAAAACTAACTATGTGCCACAAAACACACAAAAGTCGCACAGACGAGCGGCAAACATGCTGAGGGCGCATTTAAAAAAAAAGAATCAGGAAGAACAGTTCGAGGAATTTGATAAAACGAAACTAAATCAGGTACTGTGTAATTTTTATATTGACAACAGAAAAGTTGACGGGGAACTGTACAAGATCAATATAAAAGACTCAAAGGGGTAATAAATTCGTTACACGGATTTTTGGCATGGTATACGGGATGGTATGACCCTACAGGATTTCGTATTTCCTTCGGCCTATCGGCCTCAGGAAATACGAATCCCTCTAGGGTCATACCATCCTGTATACCCTGCCAAAAATCCGTGTAACTAATAATATCCAAATGATGAAGAAATATAAATGAAAATGATACAAGTATCCCTGCTATCATTTTAAATCATGAAAGTATTACTGGGTGGATTCACACTGGTAAGGTACGCTGTCTTCTATATTAACTTTCCAAAATTGATTTTATCAATCATTGCTTTGGTTATATGAAAAAATGTAAATCTGTTTATGTAAGGAACTCATATATAAGTACAACTTGGTTGAAAATGATAATATTACATATACATAACCTAAAATATCGATCCTGACTGGAAGATAAGCCGGCCTTAACAAGTCCTTGATTCCTTACAGTCAAATTCATCTTAAACTTGTAAAATAGTAGGCCAGTCGCAAAAATAAGCCTTTGATTTCATGTTGGAACCTGCTAAAAGGCTTTGAATTTTAAAAATAAGCCATATACTGCCAACTCATTAATATACTTAGAAAGTAAGAGGGCATTGAAAATAGACTTGTTTCGAAAATATTTCTTACATGATATATAAGCCGCGCCTTATTATCGAGAATTTAGGATATATAAACAAAAACACATTGATTATTTATGCACGCGTATATCAAAAACATATTAATGTTAATAATTTATAACAATATATCGCTGAATCACCTTATTGCTGAATTGAAAATATTTGGTTTTTGATACTTTTAACATATGTCCATTAACACCGAATAATACAGTTCCATCAAGTCAGCTTCTCTATCTCTAGTTCCTGTTCTCCTGTCCAGCAGGCGAGATATATCCGAATTTACCATTTAAATGATAGCCGATAAGCCAGCCGTTCACATACATTTTATATATTGCAGTGCTGCAGTGCCGTTCACATATATTCCATACAATGCAGTGCTGCACTGCCGTTCACATATATTCCATACATTGCAGTGCTGCAGTGCCGTTCACATATATTCCATACATTGCAGTGCTCCATTGCCGTTCACATATATTCCATACATTGCTGTGCTGCAGTGCCGTTCACATATATTCCATACATTGCAGTGCTGCAGTGCCGTTCACATATATTCCATACAATGCAGTGCTGCACTGCCGTTCACATATATTCCATACAATGCAGTGCCGCACTGCCGTTCACATATATTCCATACATTGCAGTGCTGCAGTGCCATTCACATATATTCCATACATTGCAGTGCTGCATTGCCGTTCACATATATTCCATACATTGCTGTGCTGCAGTGCCGTTCACATATATTCCATACAATGCAGTGCTGCAGTGCCGTTCACATATATTCCATTCATTGCAGTGCTGCAGTGCCGTTCACATATATTCCATACAACGAGTGCTGCAGTGGAACTTCCATTGGCAAGCTGACCGAAGTCGCACACCTGTTGTCCTCGTCTTTAGACCATCGTTTGTATATCACAGACAAAATTAATGAGCTTTATATTCATCTTATTATCTAAATAGCTAACCTGTTAATTATAGTGTGTCTAAAATGTTCACACGCCTGACCACAGAAAATCATGAAGAAACTTTTCTATGAGAATTCATCAATAATGTCACAGTTTAAAAGATTCGCAAAGCAAGGAATGTTATATTGTTAAATACGCGTATAAATGTCATCCTCACTTAATAAATCTTAAACGAACCGTTCCCGGTACCTGTAATATAGAAAACAGCATAATTATTTTTTTATCAAATTTTTAACGAATGAATCTATGCAGGATGACAAAAGCAATTCATTCGGGTTGAGTTTTACTTGTTAAGCTCAATCAACTTAAATGTTCATTGACAACTCGATCAATACTATTGCTTTTACTGTTTAACGCCAAGTAGCTACAACATGATATGCTAAATCCAACGATCGATATTTAAAAGAAGCATCCATGAGTCGTAATTTTCTTATCATTCTATCAAGATTGCCACAAGACATTGTACTGCATGGTCGTTTTTACTGCAATTAACAACAGTGGTCTATGATATTGGTACGACTGATGAATTTGCAGTAATTTTAACGCGAGATAAAAATTCAAACGTTTTTTTTGCACATTTTTGAGCCAAACTTACATTTACAAAAAACACATTGTCAGCATTGATAATTATTTTCAGAAAGTCATCGGGGCATTGACAAACGTTGAAATTAAAGTTATTAGAAATTATTTACAGAACAGATATGCAAATTTCACATTACAGGTTGGATATATAATTGTTCACCAGTATACAGTATATTTACTAAACATAACAACACACATACCCAAACATGTCGCTGTGTTGTGTTGACAACCTTGGGCGTCGGATATAAAGCTAAGGACGTAAACAAAAACATGACTAAATGCATTATTCACATTATTAAACAGTTTAAGATACTCATGAAATATTTGAGTCTCAAAATCAGAAAACACGTAGTTTATTGAAATTTTGTAATTCAATATACACGAATGTCACAAATGACATTACCCAAGGTTGAATAAAGTCACTCATACGTTACAATTTGCTCAATTTATGTTGGTTGAAGTATGATATGTCCCTATATATGTATATGTATATACAGCAAAACTTAATACGTGCACTTGTCAATGATTTTCAAAGAGGGAATTACTTAAATGTTTTAGAATGAAATTTTGTTATGCATATGAAATCATCTTTTAATTAAAAGTAGTAAATATCATTAAAGTATTTATCCAGAAGATATTCCAACACTGTTGCGGTATAATAACACCACTGCATCAGTTATAATCGCGAAGAATAGTTCCACCCAAAAGTATGTTTTGTTTTGTTTTGTGTTTGTTTTTGTTTTATTACTTGGGGTTTCTTCCCTTCTATATAGAAGATGAAGCAGCCAATAGAAGTTTTTTTCTGGCTAAGAATTACTTTCCATATCAAGTTTTTTTGATGATTTGTTGCCCATAAGCTTGACACTCGGCTTGCCGCGGTGTTTGCATAATTCCTTTAAGGAAACATTGGTAAAGTGTAGGCTTTGTAACTTAAAGATTACGAACACATGCAATTATGTCAAAGGTATTGCAAAATTAGATTTTTATGAAGTATTTCTTTAGAAAGGTTTTTAACGAATTTTCCACAGTAGCGAGAGTAGGAAAAATCTGTTAGCCTTTACCTTAAATAGTCAAAGTTCGAAAACATAGCATCTGATAATTTTCTTTGATTGACTCTAAACATAGCATTTGTTTCTGTCAATCATATGAAACTAATTATTTTTAAAATTGATGAATGTTTCATCAAATGACAATGATACCTGTTGGTCAACGTGTAAGTATGTATTTTTCATGTTGGACTGACCTGATTTTCTGTGTCTAATAACCTGTATGCATCACCGGGCTCAACGTACTGGGGTCTTCTTTGCTCAATCGCCGCTGAGGTGTGGTAGTCACGTGGCGAGTCCCATATTTCCATTGGCAAATACATCCGAGGCTTTTAGAAAAACAGTAAGAGACCGTTCTTAATTCATTTTTACTCTAGTAGATGATGTTTTCTGTCAATTTTAGGTACGTATGGTTAACAATATTTAAAACAATGTTGTATAATATGATAATTACCTTATAATCGTAAGATTAAGTTTAATTTTGAATTCATATCTATCAAATGTCTATCGATTTTATTTTATATATTTTTATTTATAACTTGAGAAAAATTTATTATGACAACGAACTCAAATTTTTGTTGAACAAATGTGCAATACTTTTCAAAATTATCAATTGAAACAAATACAAATAGTGTTAAATATTTTTTGTAGTAGTATTTTAATAAACTATTGTGAAAATCCGTCTGCATGAAATAGAGTACAGTCTCCTCCTAATCGGACGAAATCGAAAATTCAAAATTGACAGATATCCGGAGCTGAGGACACTTTGGGGAAAATAAGAAAATAATAATTACTTACAACAGCGAACTAAGAAAATAATTGAATCATTTTAAAAAAAAGGTTCTTAAAATTCTATGAAAAGTGTAAAATGACGCTATATATTTTGATAAAATATTGTAAAAATTGCAAAAGTTGGTTCAATGACGTCTTTGACTTTACCGGTGCAGCTGGTTGGTCACTGATACTTTCCCAGCCGTTATAATAGGCTGCCGGGCGTTCATTTTCGGAACTCCCCACCATGTGTTCCCGTCTTGGTGGTCCCCGGTCAGCTCTCTCTCTAATATTGTACGCCCTATTTGCCCTCAAGTTCTCCATTCTTGTTGGCATACTGATTGCACTGCCATAAACTCGGTTATGTCTGTAGAAAAACGTCAATACGATCAAATATAGTCAAGCTTTACCGGGTTATCTCCCCTTTGAGTATCATCATCATGTTTGATAGCAAAACAGTCTTAAAAAATAGCGTTTGAGTAATGAAATACATTTTAATGATTTATTTTGTTAATTCATTTCAACAGCAAATTGTACGCATACCTTTAAAGAAAAGCTAAAAGAAACGGATTTAATACAAACGAGAATTTACATTAAATTATACATATATTACACGAATACTTTGAGTATAGGATGCTAATTCATTTGATTTCATTTCATTTATAACTACACTCGATAATTTATGATATACACTTCAAAAAAAATCAAGGGGTCAGGACATACATTCAATGTATAACAATCAGAAAGTTTTCACTAACGTTTTTTCTCCGGGTTAATTTTTTTCCAGTGCGTACATTACACGTTAACATCATGAATATAGATGCGTACGGATTACAATATTTTAATTGCATTGATAAGCGTAAAGTTTACTTTCAATTCAAAACTCCACATTTCAAATACAAACGACCATTTTTACAATCCTGAAAGAAGTAATGTTAATTTACGTGTCAATGTCCTTGACGCCTGTCCGATGGAATACTACTTGCCTTGTATTACTATGGGTTTTCTTTGTTGTCCTTCTTTTCTTGCATACACATACGATGACGACTATTATGACGATGATCACTGCTCCTCCTAACCCTGCGGTAACTGCCAGAATGTTTGTGAGGTCACTAGACTTTAAGCAGCTATCACTGTAATGCTCGAATACGGTGTCTGGGAGGCATCTGTAAATACAAAGTTATACTATGAAGCAGTACACCATACGCTCGTCACAGATAAGTTTCCTTTCAACAACTAAGGTCATTTAAGAACGTGCCTCGATGTGTGTTATGTATGCGTGTGTGTGTGCTGGAGACGGGGTGCATTGGTATATTTGCCTTTTTGTGATAACGTGGATCCGATGCAGACTTTAAAGTGCTATCTCACTGAAATACCATGCCGAAGGCACCCAGCACCGAATTCCGTCCGGTCTCACTATACTGACAATGGGTGAATCAGTTGTTGCAATAACCCTTAATGCTGAACGTTAAGCAATAACAACTACCATTTTTAAGGAATTTGGTATGTCCCGGCATGGGGACATAACCCATTGCCTTCCTCACCTAGAAGAACGCTCAGCGTTAAAGCCAATAGTGAGGTATTGCCAAGTGAGGCGCTAAGAAAAAAATTGGAGGTGATTAGTTTAAAGAAGAAAGATATCAACTGTTGGTATTGAAAGAGTGAAATACAACATAATTTAATGTATATACCCTTGATTTAATAAAATCACAAGGATTAACACCACACATTACGGCCGGATATAACGAAAGTTTTTATCAAAGTTATGTGTTTATGGTAATTATTCTTGTGTTTAAGTTTGAAGTTAATCGGTTAATAAACACCCCAGATATAAAGCGGATATCGTGATTCAGGGGATATAACTCGAAAGTCATAACGGTCAAGTAACAATGAAAATTTAAAAAAAAAAAAAATTATAGGACTTTTAATTTAAGATTCCCTACTTCGTTTTTTTAGCGATAATTCTTTATGATATTAGCCATTTCTGCTACTTTATCCACATCACTTGAATGCAAAATGCATGGTGATAAAATATTTTATTTAGTATATAAAATATGTATGTATATATATAAAGAATTGACACAAATTTAAAAACGCTTTTTAACGTTAAAATGTGTGGAACAACAAGGATGGAAAAAGAAACAAAATCATTTAGTTTCAAATAAAACTGATATTAGACTACACAAATATATTTTTTTATAAATAAATGAATTAAATCGAATTAACTTTTATATATATTAATTTGTTCATGTCGATGTATTGAAAATTAAAAGAAATGTGCAATTTAGAAAAAAGTTGTATTGCTAATTGTTTTGAAGAAGAACATTCTAAAATATTCAAGCTGATTGGTCTAACGGCGGGTTAAAAATAGACGAAAATAGCTCGACCAATCAGCTTGCGTGTTAAAAACTTCTCCAAGATGGTGGACGAAGGAGGGATGAATGTGAAATCTTGCGGAGAAAATACTTGAGGGACCCGAGAAGAGAAATTTAGTGGTGCGTAAAACAAGAAAGCAAGTTTGTTTTGACCTTATCTTTGAGTATACCATGGTTTATTAATGTTACGTCGTCCGCTTTTCTGTGTACCGAATGAAGAATTTGATTCGAAAAAATGTTTTGAAGATATATAATGGGTGTTATTTAAAGATTGATGTCCCTACTTTCGATCGAGACTATGCTGTGGGAAGGATTTTAGCGGATAAATTTTCTGTGACACTTCAAACAAAATTACCTCAATTTTGCCAGCCGCTGGTAGGGGCTGAGTTCTTCACCTTTCTAGTTTTATTTATTCATATTTTTTTTTGATAGACGTGCCCACCACCTATGGTGTATAGTTGTGTGGCAACCCTATCTGAATAAAAGATGGAGCACAGATAACATGTTGTCGTTCCTCTCTCAGGGCAATCAAGCTTTACCATAACATAGAGGTAACATTGCACGTTTAATTTCTACATTAATAATTTGTTTGGATTCTTCTTTTAATTCGGCGATTTTGATTAAAAAACCCACACCAGACGTACGAAGAAATGAACCATCTTTTTGAAAATTCAGTTTGTATATGTAGATACAGAAGCTAAACAGGGTTACATCTCACAGCACAACATGACCGTGTCGTTCGTTCAGCACTCAACACTTCATATTTGAACAGAATGAAAAATCCGTGTCTAGTGTGTTCCGAAATATATATAATATGTAAAATACAGCTAAAAGGGTAAGGTGCCTCGAAAACCCTTTATAGAAGTTATACATGAAGTTCGGCGAGATATACAGTAGCTTTGTCATTGAAATCAACAAGCAGACCGACGTTACTTACATGCACCTTGTGTTCCCTGACGGATGAAGTAAGCAATATCCGTAGTCACCACATTCATCGTACGTGCATTTCGAATTACAATTGAAAGGGTAATTCAAGTTATCATTTTCTTTGCAAATTTGGTATCTATTGCAGTTATCTTGTAATTCACACACACTTGAGTTTTCCGCTGAAAACAACAAATCAAATGAGTTATAGTGGTGATTTTTCAATTAATAATTAAATATATATATATATATATATAATAAAAAATGAAATATGCAGTAATGCTGTTGTTAGTAGTCAGTGTTAGTCAATGCAATGTTTTCTTTTGTGAAATCAGATATCCTATGCTTCAAAGAGCGAAAATAATAAACTATACCACCATCAATAATTCTTCAAAAATTCAACTCAGCTCATCACCGAACAACGCTATATCTATATACATGAAATGTTTTATGAAATTTATAATCAAATATATTTCACTTATGCATTAATGTTATAAAAGATAATACATTATACTACACTACTGTTCTTACTTACCTATTTGTAAATATGTCATCCATTTCCTGTCTGTCTTTGACCGATTAATGTTGACTATTTCGTTACCAGGCAGTTCCAATGTCTCGTTGTCCCATGCATTATTCCTGACGGATTGCAGGGTTGAGTTTATCGACTTACCAGCAGCAATTCTTAGTCTATAGTTACATTCAACGCAACCTTTCCTACAACATGGAATAATACAGGATTTTGTCGCTTCATGTACATAACTTTATAATAATACAATATGTAAATAGCATGTCTGGTACTTTTACATCAGCATTTGATATAGTGTCATGTTATAGGTCACTAAACTGAACCACAAAACAAATCCTAAGAACATTGTGGGATTTTATAAAATATATTAATGTGAAAACCGTGTTTAATTTATACAAAACATAGTTGTGTTTAAGTATCAGAATAAAGAAAATAAAGTTGATGTTGAAATGTTGATATTCACCACATTTCAACTAAAACTGCATTTACCGTCCAAAACTATATATCGTCTAGTCATATGTATCCGCGCGTTATACATTTCCGCGCAGTCATTTTATCAAGCTATATCTCGTAACTACCTGACCTGCTGGACATTACACAGGGATATTTTAGACGTTTAACAATCGTCTGTTTAAAGGGGTTTAGGGCTGAACTGAGGGAAATGTATAAATATTTTTTTTAAGAAAATGAGGAAAGCTATGATGCCTTGAAATAGGGTTGAAGCAAAGCGGAACGAGGGAATTTATATCAGGGTTTACTGTAAATATCATCTCACAATCAAATGATGACGCTAACGAAAAGCTGTAGCTGATAGTCGAGATAATTACTCACGTAAACCCGATGATAGTCACACTCTCAAACCCATCTGTGTCTTTGTACTTGGTATAAATCTGAAGATACGGATCATATAGAACATATGTCAATACTCAGCACAATCCGAAGGCTTAAATTACGGTTAGAACGATCATCTAGAAGACGGAACTCGAATGAATTAATAGAAAACAAGAGGCCAAAAGCCACGTAGTTCTCTGGGCATATGACTGAAGTGCTTGAAACTGCTGAATCCTGTTTTATCACATACTTGTTGAATCTTGTTATAGTAATACAAGCAATTTTCAGACCATGAAATACAACGTTCAGTATTGCATAAGTAGTTAACCGTAGTGGTGGATGACCATAGTTGACTGTAGTAGACCTTAGGCGACCTTGGTTAGACAAAAAATGTTCAAAATACAATTCCTACGGTGAGTTTACATGCCAGGACCCTACTTTGACCGTAGTTTGAACGTAGTTGACCCTAGTTGACCCTAGTTGACCCTAGTTGAACGTTGTGTTTATCGTAGTTGACCGTAGTTGACCCTAGTTAACCGTAGTAGACCCTACTTGAACGTGGTGTTTATCGTAGTTGACCGTTTTAGCATGGCACTACGGCTAACACTGCGGTCAAGTAGGGTCAAATAGGGACAACTACTAGGGTTGGACTACGTTTGAAGTATGATCACAGTACTGCTATACGGTTGAACTACGTTGAAGTACGTTTAATACGTTTTACTAAGGTCGCCTACGGTCTACCACAGTCAACTTCGGTCATCCCCCACTCCGGTCAACTACGTGCGTAACCGTAAGATGTGACCACGGCATTAGCACGGCGTTCAGAAAACTGCGACATAACGGACAGGGTCACTCCCATTCAATCAGGTAGTAAACATAAGTCAAAGATGGAATATGTGGGATAATGAGACAGATACTGGATAAGAAATGCTAGTCAAAAGTCTGTTATTATCAGGGATAAAGTAAACAAATGAAAAAACAACTTCGCGAGAACCCCTCTAGAAATTGTACCGACATTGTTGTCTACCAAAATAACTCGTCGCAGACAATTTCGTTCCAAAAATAGTATAAGAAATACATATAAAAAAAATAGATACATATAAAACAAAATAAAAGGATAAACACTTTCATATTAGGTAAATATTATTTGCAGAGCGATAGATTAAAACGGTTTAATAGGAAATTAGTTTCTCCTTTCTCTTCATGCTTTGTCCCTTCTATTTTCCATTTTCAATCTTTTCTCGTCTACTGAAAAGCCACAAAGCCGTTATAGCGGACGTAAAACCATCAAATAATAAATAATGACAAAAGACTTGAAGATGGTGTAGGTAATCGACCAATGTTGACCGCATTCGTTAATCGCGGTCCAAACGGTTGAACCGGTAGGGCCAGAGTCGTTCGTTGTTAAATAAGATCAAACCTAGTAATCTGATGCTGCTTTCAGGCGAGCTCTGACAAACCCTTGCAAGGGCTACATACACATTTGCAGGTCCGCCAGGGTTTATACCCGAAAACGTTACATTTAAAAACAGACAAACTGTTTGAACCGGATACGCGAACGGGGCTATGTCACAGACAGTGAGCCAGCGATCCCTCCAATAAGTGGAAGCGTAAAAGTATTTGTCAATTTCTACTTTTATATATATATATATGTAAGTAGGATATTATAATATATTTGATATACTTCTTCACTCACCATGTTACGGAATGACTCGCTATAAGTTCGATAAAGAGGAGATGATTTGTCCGTCAAGTCTTTGTCAAACGCAATCTCCACAACGACCGTCAAATTTACTGCAATAACTATTTGTTCTGAAATAATCCACAAATAATCAGTTCCTATAATTTCACAAAGAATACAATTATGCTCATACCATGTGACCAGTTAAATGAAACCGAAAACCCATTGAATAGTTTGGTCTCTGTTGACTCTGTTGCAATTATAATTTGGAACGATTTAAGCTTGTAAAACGACACCATAAATTACTTTTTTATGACAATGGTGTTTGAATACAAATTTACTTCGCGCGATAAAGATAATCTGCGATTTAAGAGGCAACGATATAGGCAAATCATGTATGTATAATGTAGTGAAAATTGAAAAAATACTTCTTTTATTGATCAAAACGTCCCTTTGTGATTAAGTAATCCCCATTTTTGTATACCTCAACTACATTTCTCAGGCGACAACCTTGATTTGCGTAAGATTAATTTATTCATGTTTTATTAAATAATGAGCGCCCGATTATTATTTATTTTTTAATTTTTTGCGTTTGACCAGAGATGTTGACATGACGCGATATTTTACATATAAACTTTATTTAGTTTGCAACAATTATAAAACAACTGTTTTCAACTTATATTAAACTCTCTTGTTGGCCTAAAAGTTGGCGTGCGGGGTCTTTATGTGGGAGGAAACCGGTGGACCCAGAGAAAACCCACGTGAGCAGGCAGGTGACCCCCGCCGTTAACACGTCTGATCGAACCCCGGGTGCCTTGGTGAAAAGCAAGTGAGCCATGCACTGTGTACCCAATCACCATATTGATTTAAAATACATATTCGCATGATACAAACTATTTATTTCACAGAAGCTACTTTTGCGTTCAAATTTCATTTTGTTTAAATGTCAACAATCAACAATCTTCCCTGTTTCGTAACCTATCTTTTCGCACATGTGACGTCAGGCTATCATAGATATATTCGGAGTGTAATCGATAAGTTTGTACTTTGCATTGATCGCATGCATGTATCACAATTATTGATAAAATAAAATTTTAATTCATTATAAAAAAATGTTAAGGAATAATTTTCATACTCATCTTAAAATATAGGAAAATGGAAAATGGCACTATAATATTTATTTAATTGAAGGCAGTTGAGGTATAAACGTTAACATTTCTAACTCTTACCTGCTGAAATAACAGAGCTACCAGGAGTAAGTGTGGTTGGTTGGATAACAAAAGGCGTAGTTGTTGTAGGTATGATTGTTGTAAGTGTCGTTGTTGTAGGTGTGGTTATAGTAGGTGTGGTTGTAGTTGATGTTGCTGAAGGTGTGGTTGTAGTCGGAGTGGTTACAGTAAGTGTTGTTGTAGTAGGTGTGGTTGTAGTAGATGTTGTTGTAGTAGGTGTGGTTGTAGTCGGTGTGGTTGTAGTAGGTGTTGTTGTAGTAGGTGTGGTAGTAGTAGGTGTGGTTTTGGTTGGTGTTGTTGTAGTCGGTGTGGTTGCAGTAGGTGTGGTTGTAGTCAGCGTGGTTGTAGTAGGTGTGAAGTCGGTGTGGTTGTAGTCGGTGTTGTGGTGGTCGGTGTTGTTGTAGTCGGTATGGTTGTAGTAGGTGTGGTTTTAGTCGGTGTTGTTGTAGTAGGGGTGGTTGTAGTAGGTGTGGGTGAAGCAGGTGTGGTTGTAGTAGGAGTAATTGTAGTCGTTGTTGTTGTACTAGTAGTAGTAGTAGTTGTTGTACTAGTAGTAGTAGTAGTTGTTGTACTAGTAGTAGTAGTAGTTGTTGTACTAGTAGTAGTAGTAGTTGTTGTACTAGTAGTAGGTGTGGTTGTAGTCAGCGTGGTTGTAGTAGGTGTGTTTGTAGTTGGTGTGGTTGTAGTTGGTGGGGTTGTAGTAGGTGTGGTTTTAGTCGGTGTTGTTGTAGTCGGAGTTGTTGTAGTAGGGGTGGTTGTAGTAGGTGTGGGTGAAGTAGGTGTGGTTGTAGTAGATGTTGTTGTAGTAGGTGCGGTTGTAGTCGGTGTGGTTATAGTAGGTGTGGGTGTAGTAGGTGTTGGTGTAGTATGTGTGGTTGTAGTCGGTGTTGTTGTAGTAGGTGTGGTTGGAGTCGGTGTTGTTGTTGTCGGAGTTGTTGTAATAGGTGTGGTTGAAGTCGGTGTTGTTGTAGTTGGTGTGGTTGTAGTTGGTGTGGTTGTAGTAGATGTGGTTGTAGTAGGTGTGGTTGTAGTCAGCGTGGTTGTAGTAGGTGTGATTGTAGTTGGTGTGGTTGTAGTAGGTGTGGTTGTAGTAGGTGTGATTATAGTCGGTGTGGTTGTAGTCGGTGTGGTTATAGTAGGTGTGGTTGTAGTAAATGTGGTTGTAGTAGGTGTGGTTGTAGTAGGTGTGGTTGTAGTCGGTGTGGTTGTAGTCGGTGTGGTTATAGTCGGTGTGGTTGTAATAGATGTGGTTGTCGTAGGTATGGTTGTAGTATGTGTTGTAGTGGGTGTGGTTGTATGTGGTGTGGTTGTAGTTGGTGTGGTTGTAGTAGGTATGGTTGTAGTAGAAGTGGTTGTAGTAGGTGTTGTAGTAGGTGTGGTTGTAGTAGGTGTTGGTGTAGTAGTAGTAGGTGTGGTTGTAGTAGGTGTTGGTGTAGTCGGGGTGGTTGTAGTCGGTGTGGTTATAGTCGGTGTGGTTGTAATAGATGTGGTTGTCGTAGGTATGGTTGTAGTCTGTGTTGTAGTGGGTGTGGTTGTAGTAGGGGTTGTTGTAGTCGGTGTTGTTGTAGTCGGTGTGGTTGTAGTAGGTGTTGTAGTAGGTGTGGTCGTAGTAGGTGTTGGTGTAGTAGTAGTTGGTGTGGTTGTAGTAGGTATGGTTGTAGTAGAAGTGGTAGTAGTAGGTGTTGTAGTAGGTGTGGTTGTAGAAGGTGTGGTTGTAGTCGGTGTTGTGGTAGTCGGTGTTGTTGTAGTCGGTGTGGTTGAGATGTGGTTGTAGTAGGTGTAGTTGTAGTCAGCGTGGTTGTAGTCGGAGTTGTTGTAGTAGGTGTTGGTGTAGTAGGTGTGGTTGTAGTAGGTGTTGTTGTAGTCGGTGTTGTTGTAGTAGGTGTGGTTGGAGTCGGTGTTGTTGTTGTCGGAGTTGTTGTAATAGGTGTGGTTGTAGTCGGTGTTGTTGTAGTTGGTGTGGTTGTAGTTGGTGTGGTTGTAGTAGGTGTGGTTGTAGTAGGTGTTGGTGTAGTAGGTGTGGTTGTAGTCGGTGTGGTTGTAGTCGGAGTTGTTGTAGTAGGTGTTGGTGTAGGAGGTGTGGTTGTAGTAGGAGTTGTTGTAGTCGGTGTTGTTGTAGTAGGTGTGGTTGTAGTCGTAGTAGGTGTGGTTGTAGTAGGTGTTGGTGTAGTAGGTGTGGTTGTAGTCGGTGTGGTTGTAGTTGGTGTGGTTGTAGTTGGTGTGGTTGTAGTCGATGTGGTTGTAGTAGGTGTGGTTGTAGTCAGCGTGGTTGTAGTAGGTGTGATTGTAGTTGGTGTGGTTGTAGTAGGTGTGGTTGTAGTCGGTATTGTTGAAGTAGGTGTGGTTGTAGTAGGTGTGGTTGTAGTTGGTGTTGTTGCAGTAGGTGTGATTGTAGTCGGTGTTGTTGTAGTCGGAGTTGTTGTAGTAGGTGTGGTTGTAGTCGGTGTTGTTGTAGTAGGTGTGGTTGTAGTCGTTGTGGTTGTAGTAGGTGTGGTTGTAGGGTGTGGTTGTAGTTAGTATGGTTGTAGTAGATGTGGTTGTCGTAGGTGTAGTTGTAGGCAGCGTGGTTGTAGTCGGAGTTGTTGTAGTAGGGGTTGGTGTAGTAGGTGTGGTTGTAGTAGGTGTTGTGTGATTGTAGTCGGAGTTGTTGTAGTAGGTGTTGGTGTAGTAGGTGTGGTTGTAGTCGGAGTTGTTGCAGTCGGTGTGGTTGTAGTTGGTGTGGATGTAGTAGGTGTGGTTGTAGAAGGTGTGGTTGTAGTCGGTGTTGTTGTAGTAGGTGTTGTTGTAATAGGTGTGGTTGTAGTCGGTGTTGTTGTAGTAGGTGTGGTTGTAGTCGTTGTGGTTGTAGTAGGTGTGGTTGTAGGGTGTGGTTGTAGTTAGTATGGTTGTAGTAGATGTGGTTGTAGTAGGTGTAGTTGTAGTCAGCGTGGTTGTAGTAGGTGTGGTTAAAGTTGGTGTGGTTGTAGTAGGTGTGGTTGTAGTCGGTGTGGTTGTAGTCGGGGTTGTTGTAGTTGGTGTGGTTGTAGAAGGTGCGGATGTAGTTGGTGTGGTTGTAGTTAGTATGGTCGTAGTAGATGTGGTTGTAGTAGGTGTAGTTGTAGTCAGCGTGGTTGTAGTATGTGTGATTGTAGTTGGTGTGGTTGTAGTAGGTGTGATTGTAGAAGGTGTTATTGTAGTCGATGTGGTTGTAGTCGGAGTGGTTGTAGTAGGTGTGGTTGTAGTAAGTGTGGTTGTAGTAGGTGTGGTTGTATTAGGTGTGATTGTAGTCGGTGTGGTTGTAGTGGGTGTGGTTATAGTCGGTGTGGTTGTAATAGACGTGGTTGTAGTAGGTATGGTTGTAGTATGTGTTGTAGTGGGTGTGGTTGTAGTAGGTGTGGTTGTAGTGGGTGTGGTTTTAGTAGGTGTGGTTGTAATTGGTGTGGTTGTAGTAGATGTTGTAGTATGTGTCGTTCTAGTCGGTATGGTTGTAGTAGGTGTGGTTATATTAGGTGTTGTAGTAGATGTGGTTGTAGTAGGTGTGGTTTTAGACGGTGTGGTTGTAGTAGGTGTGGTTGTAGTAGGTGTGGTTGTAGTAGGTGTTGGTGTAGTAGGTGTTGGTGTAGTAGGTGTGGTTGTAGTAGGTGTGGTTGTAGTTGGTATGGTTGTAGTTAGTGTGGTTGTAGTCGAAGTTGTTGTAGTAGGTGTGGTTGTAGTAGGTGTGATTGTCGTAGGTGTGGTTGTAGTAGGTGTGGTTGGAGTAGATTTGGTTGTAGTAGGTGTGGTTGTAGTCGGTGTTGTTGTAGTAGGTGTGGTTGTAGTAGGTGTTGTTGTAGTCGGTGTGGTTGTAGTCGGAGTCGTTGTAGCATGTGTGGAAGTAGTTGGGGTGGTTGTAATTGGTGTGGTTGTAGTAGGTGTTATTTTAGTCAATGTGGTTGTAGTAGGTGTGGTTGTAGTAGGTGTTGTTGTATTAGGTGTGGTTGTAGTAGGTGTGGTTGTAGTTGGTATGGTTGTAGTTAGTGTGGGTGTAGTCGAAGTTGTTGTAGTAGGTGTGGTTGTAGTAGGTGTTGGTGTAGTAGGTGTGGTTGTATTAGGTGTTGTTGTAGTCGGTGTGGTTGTAGTCGGAGTCGTTGTAGCATGTGTGGAAGTAGTTGGTGTGGTTGTAATTGGTGTGGTTGTAGTAGGTGTGGATGTAATTGGTGTGGTTGTAGTAGGTGTTATTGTAGTCAATGTGGTTGTAGTAGGTGTGGTTGTAGTAGGTGTTGGCGTAGTAGGTGTGGTTGTAGTAGGTGTGGTTGTAGTAGGTGTGGTTGTAGTAGGTGTTGGTGTAGTAGTAGTAGGTGTGGTTGTAGTAGGTGTGGTTGTAGTAGGTGTTGGTGTAGTCGGTGTGGTTGTAGTAGGTGTGGTTGTAGTAGGTGTGGTTGAAGTAGGTGTTATTGTAGTCGATGTGGTTGTAGTAGGTGTGGTTGTAGTAGGTGTTGGCGTAGTAGGTGTGGTTGTAGTAGGTGTGGTTGTAGTAGGTGTTGGTGTAGTAGTAGTAGGAGTGGTTGTAGTAGGTGTGGTTGTAGTCGGTGTTGTTGTAGTAGGTGTGGTTGTAGTAGTTGTGGTTGAAGTAGGTGTTATTGTAGTCGATGTGGTTGTAGTAGGGGTGGTTGTAGTAGGTGTGGTTGAAGTAGGTGTTATTGTAGGCGATGTGGTTGTAGTAGGTGTGGTTGTAGTAGGAGTGGTTGAAGTAGGTGTTATTGTAGTCGATGTGGTTGTAGTAGGTGTTGGTGTAGTAGGTGCGGTTGTAGTAGGTGTTGTTTTAGTAGATCTGGTTGTAGTAGGTGTTGGTGTAGTCGGTGTGGTTGTAGTAGGTGTTATTGTAGTCGATGTGGTTGTAGTAGGTGTGGTTGTAGTAGGTGTTGGCCTAGTAGGTGTGATTGTAGTAGATGTGGTTGTAGTAGGTGTGGTTGTAGTCGGTGTTGTTGTAGTAGGTGTGGTTGTAGTCGTTGTGGTTGTAGTAGGTGTGGTTGTAGTAGATTTGGTTGTAGTAGGTGTGGTTGTAGTCGGTGTTGTTGTAGTCGGAGTTGTTGTAGTAGGTGTGGTTGTAGTAGGTGTTATTGTAGTCGATGTGGTTGTAGTAGGGGTGGTTGTAGTAGGTGTTGTTGTATTAGGTGTGGTCGTAGTAGGTCTGGTTGTAGTAGGTGTTCGTGTAGTAGGTGTTCGTGTAGTAAGTGTGGTTGTAGTCGGTGTGGTTGTAGTAAGTGTTGGTGTAGAAGGTGTTCTTGTAGTAGGTGTTAGTGTAGTAGGTGTGGTTGTAATCGGTGTGGTTGTAGTCTGAGTCGTTGTAGTATGTGTGGAAGCAGTTGGTGTGGTTGTAATTGGTGTGGTTGTAGTAGGTGTGGTTGTAATTGGTGTGGTTGTAGTAGGTGTTATTTTAGTCAATGTGGTTGTAGTAGGTGTGGTTGTAGTAGGTGTTGGCGTAGTAGGTGTGATTGTAGTAGGTGTGGTTGTAATTGGTGTGGTTGTAGTAGGTGTGATTGTAGTAGGTGTGGTTGTAATTGGTGTGGTTGTAGTAGGTGTTATTTTAGTCAATGAGGTTGTAGTAGGTGTGGTTGTAGTAGGTGTTGGTGTAGTAGGTGTGGTTGTAGTCGGTGTGGTTGTAGAAGTGGTGGTTGTACTAGGTGTGGTTGTAGTAGGTGTGGTTGTAGTAGGTGGTATTGTAGTCGATGTGGTTTTAGTAGGTGTGGTTGTAGTCGTTGTTGGCGTAGTAGGTGTGATTGTAGTAGGTGTGGTTGTAATTGGTGTGGTTGTAGTAGGTGTGATTGTAGTAGGTGTGGTTGTAGTAGGTGTTATTGTAGTCGATGTGGTTTTAGTAGGTGTGGTTGTAGTCGGTGTTGGCGTAGTAGGTGTGATTGTAGTAGGTGTGGTTGTAGTAGGTGTGGTTGTAGTAGGTGTTGGTGTAGTCGGTGTGGTTGTAGTAGGTGTGGTTGTAGTAGGTGTGGTTGTAGTAGGTGTTATTGTAGTCGATGTGGTTGTAGTAGGTGTTGTTGTAGTAGGTGTTGGCGTAGTAGGTGTGATTGTAGTAGGTGCGGTTGTAGTAGGTGTTGTTTTAGTAGATCTGGTTGTACTAGGTGTTGGTGTAGCAGGTGTGGTTGTTGTCGGTGTGGTTGTAGTCGGTGTGATTGTAGTAGGTGTGGTTGTAGTCGGAGGTGTTGTAGTCGGAGTTGTTGTAGTAGGTGTTGGTATAGTAGGTGTTGGTGTAGTTGGTGTGGGTGTAGTAGGAGTCGGAGTTGTTGTAGTCGGAGTTGTTGTAGTAGGTGTTGGTATAGTAGGTGTTGGTGTAGTTGGTGTGGGTGTAGTAGGAGTCGGAGTTGTTGTAGTCGGAGTTGTCGTAGTGGGTGTGGTTGTAGTAGGGGTGGTTGTAATTGGTGTGGTTGTAGCAGGTGTGGTTGTCGTCGGTGTGGTTGTAGTCGTAGTTGTTGTAGTAGGTGTGGTTGTAGTCGGAGTTGTTATAGTAGGTGTGGTTGTAGTCGGAGTTGTTATAGTAGGTGTGGTTGTAGTAGGGGTTGTTGTAGTAGGTGTGGTTGTAGTCGTTGTGGGTGTAGTAGGTGTTGGTGTAGTATGTGTGGTTGTAGTCGGTGTGGTTGTAGAAGGGGTGGTTGTAGTACGTTTGGTTGTAGTAGGTGTGGTTGTAGTCGGAGTTGTTGTGTGGTTGTAGTAGGTGTGGTTGTGTAGTAAGTGTTGGTGTAGAAGGTGTTCTTGTAGTAGTTGTTAGGGTGGTAGGTGTGGTTGTAATCGGTGTGGTTGTAGTCTGAGTCGTTGTTGTATGTGTGGAAGCAGTTGGTGTGGTTGTAATTGGTGTGGTTGTAGCAGGTGTGGTTGTCGTCGGTGTGGTTGTAGTCGTAGTTGTTGTAGTAGGTGTGATTGTAGTAGGTGCGGTTGAAGTAGGTGTTGTTTTAGTAGATCTGGTTGTACTAGGTGTTGGTGTAGCAGGTGTGGTTGTAAAAGGTGTTGTTTTAGTAGATCTGGTTGTACTAGGTGTTGGTGTAGCAGGTGTGGTTGTCGTCGGTGTGGTTGTAGTCGTAGTTGTTGTAGTAGGTGTGATTGTAGTAGGTGCAGGTGGGGTTGTAGTAGGGGTGGTTGTAGTAGGTGTTATTGTAGTCGGTGTGGTTGTAGTAGGGGTTGGTGTAGTCGGTGTGGTTGTAGGAGGGGTTATTGTAGTCGATGTGGTTGTAGTAGGTGGTGTTGTAGTAGGTGTGCTTGTAGTATGTGGTGGTGTAGTAGGTGTGGTTGTAGTCGGAGTTGTTATAGTAGGTGTGGTTGTAGTCGGAGTTGTTGGAGTCGGAGTTGTTGTAGTAGGTGTGGTTTTAGTAGGTGTGGTTGTAGTAGGTGTGGTTTGGTTGTAGTAGGTGTGGTTGTAGGTGGGGTGGTTGTAGTCGGTGTGGTTGTAGAAGTTGTGGTTGTACTAGGTGTGGTTGTAGTAGGTGTGGTTATAGTAGGTGTTGGCGTAGTAGGTGTGGTTGTAGTAGGGGTTGGGTTTAGGTAGCAGTTGGTGTAGTAGGTGTGGTTGTAGTCGGAGTTGTTATAGTAGGTGTGGTTGTAGTAGGTGTTGTTGTAGTAGGTGTGCTTGTAGTAGGTGTTGGTGTAGTAGGTGTGGTTGTAGTCGGTGTGGTTGTAGAAGGTGTGGTTGTAGTACGTTTGGTTGTAGTAGGTGTGGTTGTAGTAAGTGTGGTTGTAGTAGGTGTTGGTGTAGTAGTAGTAGGTGTGGTTGTAGTAGGTGTGGTTGTAGTTGGTGTGGTTGTAGTAGGTGTGGTTGTAGTAGGTGTGGTTGTAGTCGGTATTGTTGAAGTAGGTGTGGTTGTAGTAGGTGTGGTTGTAGTAGGTGTGGTTGTAGTAGGTGTGGTTGAATTAGGTGTGGTTGTAGTTGGTGTGGTTGTAGTAGGTGTGGTTGTAGTCGGAGTTGTTGTAGTCGGAGTTGTTGTAGTAGGTATGGTTGTAGTAGGTGTTGGTGTAGTATGTGTTGTTGTAGTCGGAGTTGTTATAGTAGGTGTGATTGTAAAAGGTGTGGTTGTAGTAGGTGTGGTTGTAGTAAGTGTGGTTGTAGTCGGTGTGGTTTTAGTAGGTGTGGTTGTAGTAGGTGTGGTTGTAGTCGGTGTGGTTGTAGAAGGTGTGGTTGTAGTAGGTGTGGTTGTAGTAGGTGTGGTTGTAGTAGGTGGGGTTGTAGTCGGAGTTGTTGTAGTAGGTGTTGGTGTAGTAGGTGTTGGGGTAGTTGGTGTGGGTGTAGTATGTGTTGGTGTAGTAGGTGTGGTTGTAGTAGGTGTGATTGTAGTAGGTGTGGTTGTAGTAAGTGTGGTTTTAGTTGGTGGGGTTGTAGTCGGAGTTGTTGTAGTCGGAGTTGTTGTAGTAGGTGTTGGTGTAGTAGGTGTTGGTGTAGTTGGTGTGGGTGTAGTAGGGGTTGGTGTAGTAGGTGTGGTTGTAGTAGGTGCGGTTGTAGTTGGTGTGGTTGTAGTTGGTGTGGTTGTAGTAGGTGTGGTTGTAGTAGGTGTTGTTGTAGTCGGAGTTGTTGTAGTAGGTGTGGTTGTAGTATGTGTTGGTGTAGTAGGTGTGGTTGTAGTAGGTGCAGTTGTAGTCGGTGTGGTTGTAGTAGGTGTGGTTGTAGTCGGGGTGGTTGTAGTAGGTGTGGTTGTAGGTGGTGTGGTTGTAGTCGGTGTGGTTGTAGTAGGTGTGGTTTTAGTAGGTGTGGTTGTTATCGGTGTGGTTGTAGTTGGTGTGGTTGTAGTCGGTGTGGTTGTAGTTGGGGTTGGTGTAGTAGGTGTGGTTGTAGTAGGTGTGGGTGTAGTAGGTGTGGTTGTAGTCGGTGTGGTTGTAGTCGGTGTTGTTGTAGTAGGTGTGGTTGTAGTTGGTGTGGTTGTAGTTGGTGTGGTTGTAGTCGGTGTGGTTGTAGTTGGTGTTGGTGTAGTAGGTGTGGTTGTAGTAGGTGCCGTTGTAGTCGGTGTGGTTGTAGTAGGTGTGGTTATAGTAGCTGTGGTTGTAGTCGGTGTGGTTGTAGTAGGTGTGGTTGTAGTCGGTGTGGTTGTAGTCGGTGTTGTTGTAGTAGGTGTGGTTGTAGTAGGTGTGGTTTTAGTAGGTGTGGTTGTTATCGGTGTGGTTGTAGTTGGTGTGGTTGTAGTCGGTGTGGTTGTAGTAGGTGTGGTTGTAGGAGGTGTGGTTGTAGTAGGTGTGGTTGTAGTAGGTGTGGTTTTAGTAGGTGTGGTTGTTGTCGGTGTGGTTGTAGTTGGTGTGGTTGTAGTCGGTGTGGTTGTAGTTGGTGTGGTTGTAGTAGGTGTGGTTGTAGTCGGTGTGGTTGTAGCAGGTGTGGTTGTAGTAGGTGTTGTTGTAGTTGGTGTGGTTGTAGTGAGTGTGGTTGTAGTAGGTGTTGGTGTAGTAGTTGTGGTTGTAGTCGGTGTAGTTGTAGTCGGTGTGGTTGTAGTTGGTGTTGTTGTAGTAGGTGTGGTTGTAGTAGGTGTGGTTGTAGTCGGTGTTGTTGTAGTAGGTGTGGTTGTAGTTGGTGTGGTTGTAGTAGGTGTGGTTGTAGTCGGTGTGGTTGTAGTCGGAGTTGTTGTAGTATGTGTGGTTGTTGTCGGTGTGGTTGTAATCGGAGTTGTTGTAGTAGGTGTGGTTGTAGTAGGTGTGGTTGTAATTGGTGTGGTTGTAGTAGGTGTGGTTGTAGTAGGTGTTGTTGTAGTCGGTGTTGTTGTAGTCGGAGTTGTTGTAGTAGGTGTGGTTGCTGTCGGTGTGGTTGTAGTCGGAGTTGTTGTAGTAGGTGTGGTTGTAGTAGGCGTTGATGTAGTAGGTGTGGTTGTTGTAGGTGTGGTTGTAGTAGGTGTGGTTGTAGTAGGTTTGGTTGTAGTAGGTGTGGTTTTAGTCGGTGTAGTTGTAGAAGGTGTGGTTGTAGTAGTTGTGGTTGTAGTCGGTGTGGTTGTAATAGGTGTTGTTGTAGTCGGTGTTGGTGTAGTCGGAGTTGTTGTAGTAGGTGTGGTAGTAGTAGGTGTGGTTTTAGTCGGTGTTGTTGTAGTCGGTGTTGTTGTAGTAGGTTTGGTTGTAGTAGGTGTGGTTTTAGTCGGTGTTGTTGTAGTAGGTGTGGTTGTATTAGGTGTGGTTGTAGACGGTGTGGTTGTAGTCGGAGTTGTTGTAGTAGGTGTGGTTGTAGTAGGAGTGGTTTTAGTCGGTGTTGTGGTAGTAGGTGTGGTTGTGGGAGGTGTGTTTATAGTAGCCAGGTGTGGTAGTAGTAGGTGTGGTTTTTGTCGGTGTTGTTGTAGTATGAGTGGTTGTAGTAGGTGTGTGGTTGTAGTAGGTTTGGTTGAAGTAGGTGTGGTTTTAGTCGGGGTTGTTGTAGTCGGAGCGGTTGTAGTAGGTGTTGCTGTAGTAGGTGTGGTTGGAGTAGGTGTTGTTGTAGGAGGTGTGGTTGTAGTCGGTGTGGTTGTAGTCGGAGTTGTTGTAGTCGGAGCTGTTGTAGTAGGTGTTGGTGTATTAGGTGTGGTTGTAGTAGGTGTGGTTGTTGTCTGTGTGGTTGTAGTAGGTGTGGTTGTAGAAGGTGTGGTTGTAGTCGGTGTGGTTGTAGTAGGTGCGGTTGTAGTTGGTGTGGTTGTAGTTGGTGTGGTTGTAGTAAGTGTGGTTGTAGTAAGTGTGGTTGCAGTAGGTGTGGTTGTAGAAGGTGTGGTTGTAGTCGGTGTGGTTGTAGTAGGTGCGGTTGTAGTTGGTGTGGTTGTAGTTGGTGTGGTTGTAGTAGGTTTGGCTGTAGTAGGTGTGGTTGTAGTTGGTGTTGTTGTAGTCGGTGTTGTAGTAGGTGTAGTTGTAGTTGGTGTGATTGTAGTCGGTGTGGTTCCAGTAGGTGTGGTTGAAGTAGGTGTGGTTGTAATAGGTGTGGTTGTAGTTGGTGTTGTAGTGGCTGTGGTTTTAGTCGGTGTGGTTGTAATAGGTGCGGTTGTAGTTGGTGTTGTTGTAGTTGGTGTGGTTGTAGTTGGTGTGGTTGTAGTCGGTGTGGTTGTAGTAGATGTGGTTGTAGTTGGTGTGGTTGTAGTTGGGGTGGTTGTAGTCGGTGTGGTTGTAGTAGGTGTGGTTGTAGTTGGTGTTGTTGTAGTTGGTGTGGTTGTAGAAGGTGTGGTTGTAGTTGGTGTGGTTGTAGTTGGTGTGGTTGTAGTCGGTGTGGTTGTAGTAGGTGTGGTTATAGTAGCTGTGGTTGTAGTCGGTGTGGTTGTAGTAGGTGTGGTTGTAGTAGGTGTGGTTGTAGTAGGTGTGGTTGTAGTCGGTATGGTTGTAGTTGGTGTGGTTATAGTAGGTGTGGTTGTAGTCGGTGTGGTTGTAGTTGGTGTGGTTGTAGTTGGTGTGGTTGTAGTCGGTGTGGTGGTAGTCGGTGTGCTTATAGTAGGTGTGGTTGTAGTTGGTGTGGTTGTAGTAGGTGTGGTTGTAGTTGGTGTGGTTGTAGTTGGTGTGGTTGTAGTTGGTGTGGTTGTAGTAGATGTGGTTGAAATAGGTGTGGTTGTGGTCAGTGTGGTTGTAGAAGGTGTGGTTGCAGTTGGTGTGGTTGAAGTAGGTGTTGTTGTAGTAGGTGTGGTTGTAGTCGGTATGGTTGTAGTAGGTGTTGTTGTAGTAGGTGTGGTTGTAGTAGGTGTGGTTGTAGTTGGTGTGGTTGTAGTAGACGTGGTTGAAATAGGTGTGGTTGTGGTCAGTGGGGTTGTAGAAGGTGTGGGTGCAGTTGGTGTGGTTGAAGTAGGTGTTGTTGTAGTAGGTGTGTAGGTGTGGTTGTAGAAGGTGTGGTTGTAGTTGGTGTGGTTGTGGTTGGTGTGGTTGTAGTTGGTGTGGTTGTAGTAGGTGTGGTTGTAGTCGGTAGTAGGTGTTATTGTAGTCGATGTGGTTGTAGTAGGTGTGGTTGTAATTGGTGTGGTTGTAGTAGGTGTGGTTGTAGTCGGTGTGATTGTAGTAGGGGTGGTTGTAGTAGGTGTGGTTGTAGTAGGTATTGTAGTAGGTGTGGTTGTTTCGGTGTCGTTATAGTAGGTGTTGTAGTAGGTGTGATTGTAGTCGGTGTGGTTGTAGTCGGTGTGGTTGTAGTCGGTGTGGTTGTAGTCAGAGTTGTTGTAGCAGGGGTGGTTGAAGTAGGTGTTGCAGTAGGTGTGGTTGTCGGTGTGGTTGTAGTCGGTGTGATTGTAGTAGGTGTGTTTGTAGTAGGTGTGGTTGTAGTCGGTGTGATTGTAGTAGGGGTGGTTGTAGTAGGTGTGGTTGTAGAAGGTGTTGTAGTAGGTGTGGGTTTAGTAGGTGTGTTTGTAGTAGGTGTGGTTGTAGTCGGTGTGATTGTAGTAGGTGTGTTTGTAGTAGGTGTGGTTGTAGTCGGTGTGGTTGTAGTCAGAGTTGTTGTAGCAGGTGTGGTTGAAGTAGGTGTTGCAGTAGGTGTGGTTGTTGTCGGTGTGGTTGTAGTCGGTGTGGTTGTAGTAGGTGTGGTTATAGTAGGTGTGGTTGTAGTCGGTGTTGTTGTAGTCGGAGTGGTTGTAGTCGGAGTTGTTGTAGTCGGATTTGTTGTAGTTGGTGGGGGTGTAGTAGGTGTGATTGTAGTAGGTGTGGTGGTAGTAGGTGTGGTTGTAGTCGGTGTTGTTGTAGTCGGAGTTGTTGTAGTCGGAGTTGTTGTAGTCGGATTTGTTGTAGTTGGTGTGGTTGTAGTAGGTGTGATTGTAGTAGGTGTGGTGGTAGTAGTTGTGGTTGTAGTCTGTGTTGTTGTTGTAGGTGTTGTTTTAGTAGGTGTGGTTGTAGGCGGTGTTGTTGTAGTCGGATTTGTTGTAGTTGGTGTGGTTGTAGTAGGTGTGGTTGTAGTCGGTGTGGTTGTAGCCGGTGTGGTTGTAGTAGGTGTTGTTGTAGGTGTGGTTGTTGTCGGTGTGGTTGTAGGTGTGGTTGTAGTAGGTGTGGTTGTAGAAGGGGTGGTTGTAGTCGGTGTGGTTGTAGCAGGTGTGGTTGTAGTCGGTGTGGTTGTAGTAGCTGTGGTTGTAGTCGGTGTGGTTGTAGTAGCTGTGGTTGTAGTCGGTGTGGTTGTAGTAGGTGCGGTTGTAGTTGGTGTTGTTGTAGTTGGTTGTAGTCGGTGTGGTTGTAGTAGGTGCGGTTGTAGTTGGTGTTGTTGTAGTTGGTTGTAGTCGGTGTGGTTGTAGTAGGTGCGGTTGTAGTTGGTGTTGTTGTAGTTGGTTGTAGTCGGTGTGGTTGTAGTAGGTGTTGGTGTAGTAGGTGTGGTTGTAGTAGGTGTTGTGGTAGGTGTGTTTGTTGTCGGTGTGGTTGTTGTCGGTGTGGTTGTAGTCGGTGTGATTGTAGTAGGTGTGGTTGTAATGGTTGTAGTAGGTGTGGTTGTAGTTGGTGTTGTAGTAGTTGGTGTGGTTGTAGTAGGTGTGGTTGTAGAAGGTGTGGTTGTAGTCGGTGTGGTTGTAGCCGGTGTGGTTGTAGTCAGAGTTGTTGTAGCAGGTGTGGTTGAAGTAGGTGTTGCAGTAGGTGTGGTTGTTGTCGGTGTGGTTGTAGGTGTGGTTGTAGTAGGTGTGGTTGTAGAAGGTGTGGTTGTAGTCGGCGTGGTTGTAGCAGGTGTGGTTGTAGAAGGTGTTGTTGTAGTTGGTGTGGTTGTAGTAGGTGTGGTTGTAGTTGGTGTGGTTGTAGTAAGTGTGGTTGTAGTAAGTGTGGTTGCAGTAGGTGTGGTTGTAGAAGGTGTGGTTGTAGTCGGTGTGGTTGTAGTCGGGGTTGTTGTAGTAGGTGTGGTTTTAGTAGGTGGGTTTGTAGTAGGTGTGGTTGTAGTCGGTGTGGTTGTAGCCGGTGTGGTTGTAGTCAGAGTTGTTGTAGTAGGAGTGGTTGTAGTAGGTGTTGTAGTAGGTGTGTTTGTCGTCGGTGTGGTTGTAGTCGGTGTGGTTGTAGTCGGTGTTGTTGTAGTCAGAGTTGTTGTAGTAGGTGTGGTTGTAGTAGGTGTTGTAGTAGGTGTGTTTGTTGTCGGTGTGGTTGTAGTCGGTGTGATTGTAGTAGGTGTGGTTGTAATAGGTGTGGTTGTAGTCTGTATGGTTGTACTAGGTGTTGTGGTAGTAGGTGTGGTTGTACTACGTGTTGTAGTAGTTGTGGTTGTAGTTGGTGTTGTTGTAGTTGGTGTTCTAGTAGGTGTGGTTGTAGTAGGTGTTGTTGTAGTAGGTGTAGTTGTAGTAGGTGCGGTTGTAGTCGGTGTTGTAGTAGGCGTTGTTGTAGTCGGTGTTGTTGTAGTCGGTGTTGGTGTAGTCGGTGTTGTTGTAGTAGGTGTGGTTGTACTATGTGTTTTAGTAGGTGTGGTTGTAGTAGGTGTTGTTGTAGTAGGTGTTGTAGTAGGTGTTTTAGTAGGTGTTGTAGTGGGTGTGGTTGTAGTAGTTGTGGTTGTAGTTGGTGTTGTAGTGGGTTTGGTCGTAATCAGTGTGGTTGTAGTCGGTGTTGTTGTAGTTGGTGTTGTAGTAGGTGTGGTTGCAGTAGGTGTTGAAGTCGGTGTGGTTGCAGTAGGTGTGGTTGTAGTAGGTGTGGTTGTAGTCGGTGTTGTTTTACTAGGTGTGTTTGTAGTAGGTGTGGTTGTAGTAGGTTTGGTTGTAGTCAGTGTTGTAGTAGTTGTGGTTGTAGTCGGTGTGGTTGTTGTCGGTGTGGTTGTAGTAGGTGTGGTTGTAGTCGGTGTTGTTTTACTAGGTGTGTTTGTAGTAGGTGTGGTTGTAGTAGGTTTGGTTGTAGTCAGTGTTGTAGTAGTTGTGGTTGTAGTCGGTGTGGTTGTTGTCGGTGTGGTTGTAGTAGGTGTGGTTGTAGTCGGTGTTGTTTTACTAGGTGTGTTTGTAGTAAGTGTGGTTGTAGTAGGTTTGGTTGTAGTCAGTGTTGTTGTAGTAGTTCTGGTTGTAGTTGGTGTTGTAGTAGTTGGTGTGGTTGTAGTAGGTGTGGTTGTAGTCGGTGTTGTTTTACTAGGTGTGTTTGTAGTAGGTGTGGTTGTAGTAGGTTTGGTTGTAGTCAGTGTTGTAGTAGTTGTGGTTGTAGTCGGTGTGGTTGTTGTCGGTGTGGTTGTAGTAGGTGTGGTTGTAGTCGGTGTTGTTTTACTAGGTGTGTTTGTAGTAAGTGTGGTTGTAGTAGGTTTGGTTGTAGTCAGTGTTGTTGTAGTAGTTCTGGTTGTAGTTGGTGTTGTAGTAGTTGGTGTGGTTGTAGTAGGTGTGGTTGTAGTCGGTGTTGTTTTACTAGGTGTGTTTGTAGTAGGTGTGGTTGTAGTAGGTTTGGTTGTACTCAGTTTTGTAGTAGTTGTGGTTGTAGTCGGTGTGGTTGGTGTCGGTGTGGTTGTAGTAGGTGTTGTTGCAGTAGGTATGGTTGTAGTGGGTGTGGTTGTAGTTGGTGTGGTTGTAGTCGGTGTTGTTGTAGTAGGTGTGGTTGTACTATGTGTTGTAGTAGGTGTGGTTGTAGTTGGTGTTGTTGTAGTAGGTGTTGTAGTTGGTGTGGTTGTAGTAGGTGTTGTTGTAGTAGGTTTGGTTGTAGTCGGTGTTGTTTTACTAGGTGTGTTTGTGGTAGGTGTGGTTGTAGTAGGTTTGGTTGTAGTCAGTGTTGTAGTAGTTGTGGTTGTAGTCGGGGTGGGTGTTGTCGGTGTGGTTGTAGTAGGTGTGGTTATAGGAGGTGTTGTTGTAGTCGGTGTTGTTGTAGTCGGAGTTGTTGTAGTAGGTGTGGTTGCTGGCGGTGTGGTTGTAGTCGGGGTTGTTGTAGTAGGTGTGGTTGTACTATGTGTTGTAGTAGGTGTGGTTGTAGTAGGGTTGGTTGTAGTAGGTGTTGTTGTAGTAGGTGTTGTAGTTGGTGTGGTTGTAGTTGGAGTGGTTGTAGTCGGTGTGGTTGTAGTAGGTGTTGTTGCAGTAGGTGTGGTTGTAGTAGGTGTTGTAGTAGGTGTGGTTGTAGTAGGTTTGGTTGTAGTAGGTGTTGTTGTAGTGGGTGTTGTTGTAGTAGGTGTTGTAGTTGGTGTGGTTGTAGTTGGTGTGGTTGTAGTCGGTGTGGTTGTAGTAGGTGTGGTTGTAGTAGGTTTGGTTGTAGTAGATGCGGTTGTAGTCGGTGTTGTAGTAGGCGTTGTTGTTGTCGGTGTGGTTGTAGTAGGTGTGGTTGTATGAGGTATGGTTTTAGTAGGTGTTGTTGTCGTAGATTTGGTTGTAGGGGATGTGGTTGTAGGGGATGTGGTTGTAGCGGATGTGGTTGTAGTAGGTGTGTTTGAAGTAGGTGTGGTTGTAGTGGGTGTGGTTGTAGT